GTTGCCGGACCTCGCTAGTGTGTTCGTGCAAAATGTGCAAAATCGGCTTCAGCCCGCGCTGGCGTGCTAGCGTGAACGCGCTGGGCGTGATCCACTTGGGCTCGTGCTCGACAAGGCAAAGGACGCTCTCCGGCCGGTTCTCAATGATGGCCTGGTGCAGCATGAAGCGCGTGTCCGTCAACGACGAGAGCAGCATCGAGCGAAGGAGGCCAAACACGCTGTACATGCCATCTTCCTGCATTTCGGTCACAAAGGCGCGCCACGCTTGGTATTCGGCGCGAACGGCGTGCGTCATACCGCCTTGGTAGGCCACGACCTCGCGGACCAGCGCCGGGTTGCCCAGGACGGCGTGGCTAGGAGGTAGTAAGAGGGCGCGGGGCATTTTGAGTTCTGGCGATCGAACGCGACGCTGGATGTAACACTGCGCGGCCCAGCTGGTTGCAGAGGCCTGCCAGCGTCGTGACACATGCGCAAAATTTCAAGTCCAGGTGCGTCAAGGCCGGTTTTATGCCCAAAAGAGCACCGGTTGCAAGGTCTTGGGTGCAGATTGCGTGGGAATAGTCTCTGGCGTGGTGCATTTCACATCACGCCAGGAGCAAAGACGCTGGATCTTGGCAAGGTTAAAGAGCCTATGATCACGTCGATGGCGTCGTGGTGTGGGTATAACCTCGAAGAAGCAACAAAAACCGGGCCCCGAGGCCGAAAGACCACGCGGCGCATCCATGTTTTTTGTGGTTAAACTGCCCATGCTTTCGCTGCGTCCCTCGATTGCATAATCTGATATCATGGGACAGATACACGCAATTTGCTGCATTGGAAATAATTGACGACCGGCTGTCCCACTGCTCGCTCGATGGTTATTGCTCTCTACTGATGGACGAGTACAATACTACTTGAAATTGAGTTTAACTGCTGTGCGTCGCACCGTCTAGACGATGTCCTGTGTGAGATGGCCGGGTTGAGATGTGGTATGCGGCGTTTCTGGTGCGCGACGGATCTGGTCATACATCGGACGCACAGAGCTTACTAGCCGAAGACGGGCTGGAGGCTGGCTAGACAAGGGCTCAATCGTGGCGTGAGGGGCATACTTTGAGCAACAGACGTAGCATTCTAGCTGTGCAATCTTTGGGGGTTAGTTGTGCGTGCAGCTATCTCGCTCTATGCCCTACAGGTTTTGGCGCTGCGGAGGAAGAAATGATCAGGCTAGGGGCGACCTTGCACCGTCAGCTTGCAAAGGTGGTCACAACACACTGCACTGCTTCGTAGAGACCCACACCTTGTGACGAGGAGATCACAGGGCTCGAGTATTCCCGTATTCCATAGCGCTAGAAGCTTAGCGCTAGGTAGAGCCAATGGACACACAATGCAGTCCGAGGCTATATGCAGCTAAAATCGTTCAAACGCAAGGCATCACTCTCGCTGCTTATTCGCCCATTTTACACTCATTTTAACCAATCCGATGAAACGCCAGCAACACTCGGCGATGTTGCGTCGCTCGATCGCCCAAGAGCGATGAAAAATGATTTTGTCTTTGCTTTGCATAACAATAGAAGGCACTTTGGAGGTCAAGAAACGCTAAGCCACGGCTTCGTTGGACGCATACAGCTGAAGAAATCCACCAAATGGTTAATATTGACACATACCACATATAGACATATATAACCATATCTAAAGGTTCTTGGCTGTGCCCGGTGGCGGCAGCGCTCACACTCATGCAACACGCCCAAGCTAACAACTTCACAACAAGCACCAAGCTATGCTCCATCTCGACGACCGAGACACTATCATGCGCAGCGGTGTCAAGCGAGATCAAACGAGCCGCGGCGGCATGCCAAGAAGACCCAAACCACTACTCGACGCACTCTCTACGAAGCGGCGGCGCCACAGCCTATTTCGCGGCGGCGTACCAGACCTTGCGATCCAGAAGTTCGGCAGGTGGTCATCGGACGCCTACAAGCAGTACGCCCGAATCGACGAACAGACAATCGCCGACCTCACAACCCGGATGGTCCCAACCGCGTGGCGTCATCTCTAGGGGGACCGCCTCGCCCAC